AATTACTATATCATGGCACTAAGGGCCACATCCAATCTCTGCTTAAAAACTTCCAGGGATGGTGAATCCACCACCTCTCTGGGTAGGCCGTTCCAATGCCTGATTACCCTCTCTGTAAAGAATTTCTTCCTAACATCTAACCTAAACCTCCCCTGGCAGAGCTTGAGCCCATGTCCCCTTGTCCTATTGTTGGTTGCCTGGGAGAAGAGACCAACCCCCACCTGGCTATAACCTCCCTTCAGGTAATTGAAGAGAGTGATGAGGTCACCTCTAAGCCTTCTCTTCTCCAGACTAAACAACCCCATCTCCCTCAGCCTCTCCTCATAGGACTTGTGCTCAAGTCCCTTCACCAGCCTCGTTGCTCTTCTCTGGACCCGCTCCAGCACCTCAATATCCTTCCTGAACTGAGGGGCCCAGAGCTGAACACAATACTCAAGGTGTGGCCTCACCAGTGCTGAGTACAGGGGAAGGATCACTGCCCTGCTCCTGCTGGCCACACTGTTCTTGATGCAGGCCAGGATGTCATTGGCCTTCTTGGCCACCTGGGCACACTGCTGGCTCATGTTCAACCTCCTGTCGATCAGCACCCCCAGGTCCCTTTCTGCCTGGCTGCTCTCCAGCCACTCTGTGCCCAGCCTGTAGCGCTGCAGGGGGTTGTTGTGGCCAAAGTCCAGGACCCGGCACTTGGCCTTGTGCCATTGGAGTCAGCCCATCTCTCCAGTCTATCCAGATCCCTCTGCAGAGCCCTCCTGCCTTCCGGCAGGTCAACACTCCCTCCCAACTTGGTGTCATCTGCAAATTTGCTGATGATGGACTCAATCCCCTCATCTAAATCATCGATAAAGATGTTAAACATGTCATCCTGCTAAACATCACCCTGGCAAACCCTGGCTTATGCCAGCCCTCCTTTTCAGACCTTTATCCTTCTCTGTCCATTGCTATTACCCTACTAGGAAACACGGAACTTGTGGGAAAGGATTTCACTTTAAAATGTGTCTCATTTCAGCGTAGCAAACTTTTATAGAAGAGGCTCCTGATGACCTCCCTTGAAGAGCAAGACATCTGAACTACTTGGCTCAGAAAGGATTTCCAGGTTGGAACAAGAAAAGGGAAGCAAGCACCTCAAGTGCTTGTCCCAGAGACTTAGGACTATAGGAGGTTGAAAGGAGAGATGACATCTGTCTTGACTGAAGTAAGAGCACTACTGGAGCCACAGGGCCGTCTTGTCCCACACACAGCTACTGAGAAGTGCACTCTTCTCCAAGCCTAACCTTTCACAGCACACTGCAGCCATGCCCACAACACATCACAGGCCACATTTAATGAGCTCCAAATGGGGAGTGTGTGTGTTACATGGGCACCTGTGTTTGAGAGCCTGCATGTGTACATAATCCCATTTTGTACACATGCGGTTATTTTGCAACGCTTTGACTGGTCTTTGCCCTTACATCACTCCTAAAGCAGAAAAAAAGAAGACAAAAGCAATCAGTTTTCAGTCCTCCTGGTAATGACATTCTGTTGACAGCACTGATGGGATGGGACTTTATCAGAAGCTCAAACGCTTTGCAGGAGATAGAACATCATAAGCATGTACTTAAGGCATACTCATAGACTCATGGAATGGTTTAGGTTGGAAGGGACCTTTAAAGGTCATCTAGTCCAACCCTTGATATGTCTCAAGGAAAAATCAAAGAGGGGAATTACAAAGAACTGCTACTCGATTGATAGTAGGAGAACGATTAATTGCTTACAAAGAAAATTCTCCCTGGGTCTACATTTCATTTTTATTAGGTGGGAAGACCAGATGAAAGAACAGAAAATATTGCAGTGACAATCACTAAGAGCCCACTCCAGAAAACACCCCCCGCTATGTTTGGCTGCAGTATGGGTTTCGTGGACAGACAATAACTACTTGGGGTGTGTCTACATGTAGATGGCTGTGAAGTAATTGTGGGCATGAAACTGAAGCTCAGAAAATCCTTCATGTTCTTAATCAGAAATAAAGCAGTATTAAGTCTGGTGCAGAGGGCTGTGAACTGACTGACTGGTCCGCACCAGTGAAA